AAAACAAACAAGGGGCTGGGGAGGCAGCTCAGTTTTTAAAGTGCTTACCTTGCAAGCATGGGGACCTGAATTTGACCCCCAGAAGTTACATAAAACCAGAGTGCTGGCACCACTTAGAACCCCAGCGCCGGGGAGGCTGGGGAGGCCGGGGAGGCCGGGGAGGCCGGGGAGGCCAACACAGATGGAGCCCAGGCTCAGGGGCAGCCAACCCAGATTCTATGGCAAGCTCCAGGCCAGTGAGAGACCCTGCACCCTGCCTCAAAAAAACAAGGCGGATAGACATTCAAGGTTGACTTCTATTGAGAGAGAGAGAGAGAGAGAGAGAGAGAGAGAGAGAGAGAGAGAGAGAGAGAGATCCAAATGGGGTAACTGTGGTTTGAGAGAGCAGATAAGATAAATATAAGGATTCTGGATATATTTGGATGGTAGAGGCAACAGATCTTCCGATAGATACTGGATTTAGAAAAAGATTTTAAACAATAATTATGGGCTTTGGATACATTAGGTTAAACAATGGTTCTTTTTGGTTTTTTGAGACAGTATTTCTTTGTGTTGCCCTGACTGTCCCAGAACTCGCTCTGTAGACCAGGCTGGCCTCAAACTCACAGAGATCCACCTGTTTCTGCCTCCCTAGTGCTAGGATTAAAGGAGTGTGCCACCACCACCCAGCTTAAACAATGGTTCTTAACCTTGAAGAGTAATTTCATATATTTCTAACTAAGCTGCCAAGATGAAGAAAGCTGTGAAGAGGAAAGGGTGAGGCATCTGATAGGCATTCTGGGTCCTGAGGAGATGCTAAATAGTCCTCTCTGGCAGGCAGATCTCTGTGAGTTCGAGGCCAGCCTGGGCTACCAAGTGAGTTCCAGGAAAGGCGCAAAGCTACACAAGAGAAACCCTGTCTCGAAAAAAACAAAACAAAACAAAACAAAACAAAACAAAACAAAAAAAATAGTCCTCTCTGTACACGTCTGGAGTTGAGGGGTAAAGGCCTGTATCATGGATGTCTTCTCAGGAGTCAGTAGGGGTAGCAGTTAAAGCTCTGAGGCTGGACGAGGTCACGTGGGGATTAGGCAGCCTGGGGATCTGAGGAATCCATATCTCCAGAACAGGGAGATAACAGTGGAAAAGAAAAGGCAGGATCCCACCTGTGGAAACAAGGACTCTAGCCAGGACACCTGGCCCAAGTGAGAGATCCCTAGATGTAGGTGTGAGTAATTCCCAGGTTTCTTCTTTCCCAGAGTTTGCTGCTGGGGAGTGTGTGTGAGGTGTCATGTGCACATGTGTGTAGACATGACATGTCACACATGACTGGTGCTATAGAGGTTGCAATATCTCCTCTGTGAGCCTGACAACAGCTGTCCTCCTGCTTTCAGATGAGAAAACAGAAACTTAAAGGCTAGGTGATCTAATCCAAGGTTCTCTCACTGACAGGTGGGACTGGGAGAAGAAGGGATTCCGGTCTCTAAGCTGCTACTGAGTCCTGCTGCATGTTTCTTAGCCCTCATTGCTTCTGAGGACACACTGTGTCCGGGTTACATAGAGATAACTTGATGTGTGAGTTACGGTTGTTTGTTTGTTTGTTTGTTTGTTTTTAATTTGTGTATGTGTGTGTGCAAGCATTCACGTGTGTTTCAGTTCAGGCATGTATGTGGAGCAGCAGTCCTTCCTTCCATTTGTTTACTTACCACTGGGAACGCCAGACTACCTGGACCACGAGCTTCCGCAGATTCTCATGCTTTCTGTATCCCAGCCCCCCAGGAGAGCCCTGAGATTACAGGCACAGAAACTCCGTGGGGATCTGAACTCAGGTCCTCATGCTCATGTGGCATGAACTCTATCTACAGAGCCATGTCCCCAGGGCAGGGTTTTACAGCTTTATGTCCACAGGAGCAGAGTCTGCTGACGTGATGACCCCCTGAAGGGAGCCAGACCTTCCATGTGAGATGAACTGCTTTCTCTGAGGAACAACCCCATGGACACAGGAGGCTGTATTGGGGGGATTTTCACACTGGGAAGGGACAGCCATAAATTCACCTTAAGGGCTAATAGGTCATTTCAGAAACTGTTTTAGGTTCTCACTGGCCTCTTCCACACACTCAGCCAAATAACTGGGTTTCATCTTACTGTCTTGCTAGAAGCATTCTATTCTCTCCAAGCTTATATTCTTGCCCCTAGAAGCTGCTTCTGAGCTCAGAGGCCTCACCGGTCAAGCTTAGCCTTGCCCTGGGCAGAGATAAACAGGCCCAGAATCTATTCCTCAGATTGCGACACTGGTGAGTCAGGCGGGTCGGACAGCTGCTCCCTCCCAGGCGCCCCTTGGCTGTACCTGATAAGGAAGCACATCGCTCATTCCAGAGCACCGTCTTGTGAGTGCACAAGTATAAACAGACACTCCCAGGCCCCGGTGTTGTCTTAGAGTAAATTATTGACATTCGGAACGGCTGAAACATGGGGAAAAGGCGAAAGCAAACCTAACAGATTCAAAGGTAGCTTCAGTTTTCTTTAGCTAAACCATGGGAAAGTTTTTGAACTTAAGCAGTCAAGGGCAGGCTCAGGAGTTCCCTGAAGTTCTGGAAGGAGGAAGGTCCAACTAGGGGAGGTGCATTCGTGAACACATGGCAAGATACCCAGAGAGAAATGTGTGCATACTTTTGTCACAGAGAGGGACAATGGATGTTGTAGCATCCTCAAAAGCAAATAAACAAAACCAATTTCCTCAAAGCAAACGATCTCCTCCTATAAATAGTATGTAAACAGTGGAGAAAATGGGGTGCCAAAGATATAGTAATGGTTACCTAAGACCACCACCAGTACCATAGTGAACCTGGTCATTTCCCATTCCCTCTATGGAAGCCGTCCATAGTTTCTAGACCCTCGAGTCTAGGACTTTCACATTAATCTTTCCCACTGACTCCATCAACCTACTCCAGCAGGATAGAGCATCAGAGCCCATATTTTATAGATGAGAAAATCTGAGACTCAGGGAGGATATAAGCAACTCACTGAGGCATAATTAAGAGCAGGGAGGGGTAGATTTGTCCTAAGTGACCAGGAGTTAAAGTCAGTTCTTCCCAGGTCTGGGGGGATGGCTCCACAGTTAAGATCAGGTGCAGCTCTTGAGGAGGATCTCAGTTTGGTTCCCAAGAGCTCACAATGGCCTGTAACACCAGTTCCAGGGAATCAGACTCTCTCTGCGGGCCTCCAAGGGCACCAGGCACATGACGCACATCCATTCACACAACCAAACACTCATCCGTGTTAAAAAGAAGTAAACACGTAAAAATGAAATACTTCCTAACAACATCATGGTTCTCCTTTAGGACATTTCCTTTGCTAAGACTCCTTGAAGGGCTAACACTCCATTGCCTGTGGCGAGAGCAGCCTTGCCGCCATCAGTGCGGCCTGCAAGTTTCCACTATGAAACACTGCTCTGATAGCTGCGCCAAGTTCTTTGCTCACAGCAGTTCTATCAGTGAAGAGGAAAGTACCAGGGAGAATTTCTAGGCCCCCACTCCAGGCCTAGATCATCCCTTCCCTTAGCCCCCTTTTCTGTCTGTTCTGTATCCATGCTGTGGTTTTAGAGACAAGAACCATGGGTCCTCTAGGTGCCACTGGGCGTGGCGGAGGAGCAGAGGGTCCGCAGCTTCTGCCTTCTCGGCCTAGGACTTTATAAATGCATTTAACAGCAAGGGGTGGTCAGGTCGGTATCCTGAAATCGAGATGCCTATTGGCATGTTGAAGGCAGAGGTTCTCTGACTTTGGCCAGCATCAGAACCATCTGGGGTGCTTGTTAAAGATAAGGCCATTTAGGCCTCACCCTGAACCTTGTGAATCACAATTCCCAGGGGCAGTTCCTGGACATATGGGAGCTTAACAAGCTCTGCAGGTGATTCTAAAGTATTGGGCCAACCTTGAAAACCACTGTCTTAGCACAGGGGTGGAAGTTAATCAGGCCAAGGAGGGTGGGGAGCCACTCTAGGAGAGGAGGTAGCAGCAACACCACCCTAGGGAGTCTGGGGTAGACAGTGAGAAAGACAAACCGTGGTTTGTTTTTTTTTCTTCCTTCAATAAGGTGATGAAATAAAGGGGGTTAGAAGTCCCTTCACACATGTCTGCCGACAGAATTGTTGTAGGAGAAAGCAATGAATCATCCCTTTTCTGCCCAGAACATAGAAAGGAGGTTACAAGGGCTGCTGGGAATGGGGGTGAGGACTTATTACTTAAGGAGTACACAGTTTCTGTTGGCATTGATGAGAAGTTTCTAGAAATGAGCAGTAATGATGGTTGCACAACAGCTAATATTATTTTATGCTGGTGCATTGAATATGTAAATATGGTTAACACTGCACATTTTATATGTATGTTACAATTAAAAAAATAGCTGGTATATTGAAGGGTAGAATGGTAGGAGCAAATAATGTTCAACTTTAGCCCATTGCTCTGGTCCCAGGAGTGTGTGAGTGTGAGTGTGTGAGTGTGAGTGTGTGTGTGTAAGGTTTTTAAAGGGGACCCAGCTCACACCACCTGGCTTGTTAAAGTACAAGTGTAGTCATGCAATAGCTAAAGCTTTTGAAAATACTTGGTACTCTTCTCCTCTTTTGCCGGTTGGCTCCTTACGGTCACCGTCACTTTTGAGGCCTGAGGGGCGGTATCCCACAAACTTCACTGTTCAGGGAGCCACCTGAGAACTTTGTTCAACTGTGTATGCTGAGTAGGCCTAAGGCCCTTCTAGTGGCATTTCTAAGTAGCTCCCAAGTGATGCTGACACTCAGGTCCATTCTGGGAGGGCTGTGTAAAGTTTCTCTACATTCACACTATATCCTCAGGAACTCAGAGCCATAAAAACACAGTGGCACTCCATGTTTATTAAACGAATGAGCAAGTACACATGGTTAATATAGGAGTTTGGAGGGCAGAACCATCTTTATCCTGAACTAGAACACATTTCGGGTGCTTCTATCAGTCACACACACTGTGGGTTTAAAATGTCCTCAACTTACCTCAAATTCTGTAGAACAAGGATGTTAGTACCACATTATTTCTTTTCTTGCCACCTTGCCGCTTCTCCTGCACTCCTGGGATTATTGGTCTTGTGTGCAGGATTAATGACCCCTTGGTTTGCAAACCCTGAGGAAGCCTTGCTGTCGTCTACAATCCCTGCAAACAAATTCTTTCCATCTGAAGAGGGAGCAGAGTGCAGAGAACACGCTGGTGTGGGTATTTCCAGATTTGGACGCCAGTCTGAGTAATTGCCACTCTGGCCTCCTCCATATCCAAACAGCCCTTTGTAACACTGTCGTGAGAGGGTGGTTCATAAAGCACATGAATGTAATCATACTGCCATTGTTTACTACCATCGTTTATGTGGATGGTAACGACGGCACTGGCAGTTGAGCAATGAAGTGTGTAGGGAGGTTGGGGGAGGGGGCAGAGGGATGCCGGCGGGCAGGAGAAAGAGGAACTACATCTCCCAGAACGCCCCGGACAAACCTACCCCGCGACGACGCCCCGCCCCTCCCGCCGGCGCCCCGCCCCGCCGATGACGTCACAGAGGTGACATCACGGCGCCCAGAGCGAGGCTAGGGTAGAGGGAGGCCGACCGAGCTGGAGTCGTCGGCTTGTGGAGGAAGCAGCTGGGAGCTGGCGAGAGCGTGAGCGGGCGGGCAGGCGAACGAGCGAGCGAGCGAGCGAGCGAGCGC